CTCTACACATTGGTGCTTTAAATTGGAGGGAAAAATTGAAAAAAGATTTTGTTTAGCATGTATGGCATAGGAACAGAACATAAATGACTCACATGCAACAGAACATAAATGACTCGCATGCTAAATTTAACATGAGAGAAGTGCATGTTTTACCCTATAATTATCAAGCCTCCTAATTCTATTCTTTTAAAAAACTCTACCATTTTCATTTTATATGAGATATTTTTATCACAAATTAAAAAGATTAAAATACCCACAAATTATGGATCATAACCTGATGGATCATACTAGGACTGATCTCAATGACTGAAGATCAGTACCCGGTGTAATATGTTAGGTTATAGATCATAACCTATCAGGTTAGAAGACCCCCCGATGGCCGGTGTGTTTTGTCAGGTTATAACCAGCAGCCGGCTGGAGACCCGCTAGTGGCCGGTGTAATCTGTCAAGTTATGGATCATAACTGGTCAGGTTATGACCGGAGACCCGCCGGTGGCCGGTGTAATCTGTAAGGTTATGGATCATAACTTGTCAGGTTATTGCTGGAAACCCACCGGTGGCCGGTGTAATCTGTCAAGTTATGAATCATAACCTGTCAGGATATGGCAGGTGGTCGGTCGGAGACGCACCAGTGGCCGTGTAATCTGTTAGGTTATGGATAATAACCTATCAGGTTATGGTCAAAGACCTGTTGGTTGCCAGTGTAATCTGTCAGATTATGACCGGCTAGTCGGAGACCTGTCAACGGCCGGCCGGAGATGGGAGATTGCTGGCTTATCTTATAATTTACCAATAGACTATTAAGGATAACATTAAAATTTTAAAAAATGTTTAATTTAACTATTTTTATTATTTTAATTGTAAAAAGGGTAAAAATTAATGAGCTAATATTTGTGGGGTTAGAAATAGATTGGGGTACCTATTTGAGGGGTATTTCCCTTGTTCTCTCATTTAACATTTTAACGCTATACATCAACATTAGAAATGAGCAGAGCTAGGAGGCTCCACCACCCTTGGCCTCCAGCCCCTGTTTCTTTTGATGCTGGCGGAGTTGTCAAAAGAAAAATGGACTTGCCGGTCCGTCCCCATATGGGCCAAAAGGAAACAAAAACGAGAGTACATTGGGCTGGCATGAATAATGTAAGAGTAGGCGCAGTCCGGCCCACATTTCATATAAGATAGGGGAAAGGAAAAATGAGACATCTGTAATTTAACTTTTACTCTTCACTCATATTCTTTTTAGTCGAATAGTTATTTTAGTCAAAAAGGTATTATATTAAGAGTAAAAAATAATAATTTAGATATGTGTATTTTAAGAATAAATTTAACAATTTTTTCTAAAGAAAAAAAAATACCTTATAAAAGTGTACGAATTTAGATTTTTATTCTTTTTTAGTCAAATAACTATATTATTTAAAAGAGAAAAAGAGACAAATACATTTTAGAGTGCATGGCTCCATATTTTTACTCTTTTACTATTGATTAATACCCTTTTAGTCAAATAAATATATTATTCAAAAGGGTATTAATTAAGCGTAATGTGTAAAAATCTAGACCCACGCACTCTATGAGTAAGCTCAGAAATTTTCTCTATAAAAAAACTTTTTTGAAAATAAACGCCAAATCCAGGTCTTTATACGAGTCGGGCCATACCGAATGCTAAACTTAAGCCTTTGTTTGGTATAGTGGAAAGAAATTAGAGGAAGAATTTTGAAGAGGTAAAGAGAATTTTGAGTTGTTTGGTAGAGAATAAATGAGGAAGAAAGTGAGTTATAAATCTATGAGACCCACCATTTTTCAATCCTTACAACTTTGAAAAGAAAAGAGACAAGTAAGTGAGATGTAAAATAACAATTTTAACTTGAAATCATTCACTATATTTTTATTTATATAAAGATTTTATTGTAATATAGACTAGATTTTAACCTCTTTTTTTTTGTTTTTTTCATTTTTCTTTCTCGTCTACCAAACAACATGAAAGAAAACTTTCTTTCTATCATTTTACTTTCTATCATCTATGAGACCCACAATTTTTCAATCCTTACAACTTTGAAAAGAAAAGAGACAAGCAAGTGAGATGTAAAATAGTAATTTTAACATGAAATCATTCACTATATTTTTATTTATATAAAGATTTTATTGTAAAATAGACTAGATTTAAACATTTTTTTTTTCACTTTTCTTTCTCTTCGATCAAATAATATGAAAAAAAAACTTTCTTTCTATTATTTTATTTTTTTCACTTTGGTATTTTATTTATCCTTCATTTTTATTTCCATCATTCATACCAAACATAATATAAGAGACGAGTTTTTAAACCGGTATGTTTAGTCCGATCAAACATAATATAAGAGACGAGTTTTTAAACCGGTATGTTTAGTCCGATCAAACATAATATAAGAGACGAGTTTTTAAACCGGTATGTTTAGTCCGATCAAACATAATATAAGAGACGAGTTTTTAAACCGGTATGTTTAGTCCGATCTAAACTGATAGTTGGTCCTCGTCCAGTCCCCAACATTTGTGTTTTGGATTTGTGCTCAGCACTTATCCATAAATGCTCATTTTGTCCATTGTGCTTACCATGCAGGCCTACAAATATAACCATGCATGCATCATCACCTCATGGTCACAAAGCAAATAATTAAACAATTTGAATCTTTCTTTTTCCTCCCTAGAGGCCAGTGAAATAAAAATGATTGCTTTACAAGTTGTTTGTGTGCATGTCATTCATTTAAAACCATGCAAGTGCCAGCTAATAAATATTGTTCATCAAAATATCCCATTTTTAGACAATTTCACCCCCACAAGGAAATTGGTTGATGAGCTATTTTCTTTGGCCTTTCTGTTTAGAGAAACACGCACAAATGGCAACAGTGGCCACTCAGCATTGATGAAGATAGACAAGTTTAACCGAAAAAGAGAGAAGGGCATTATAGTAATTTCATAATATGGTGAAATTGAATCTTTTATGTTTATTTTTTTTATTGCATTTTAATTTGGGCTTTTGGGGGTCTCCTTAAAAGAGGCAAGTAGTACCATAAATCTCTCTCTGTGAGGTTCAGAGGAAGAGAAGTAAAACTACAAGAGGAAAGGAAAGGAAAAATATTAAACAAAAAAGTGACTTCCTTTTCTTCTTCTTCTAATCTTATTCTTCTTGGGCTTCTCCCTTTTCTCCTTCTAATCTTATTCTTCTCGGGCTTCTCTTCGATAAACTTTTGAGAGAGAGAGAGAGAGAGAGAGAGAGTGGTTAAGAAAATCGGCCATGTCTTTGGGCTACGCGGAGAAGCTTTCGTTCATAGAAGATGTGGGCAAAGTGGGAATGGCTGAATTTTTCGACCCACCGCATATTTTGCAAGAAAAGGTTTGTTTCTTTTCCTTTTCAAATTTTTTCTTTTAATTCTCTTCTGACATTTTATTCTATTTCCTGGGTTGTTTTGCTCTAGTACTGTTATTTGCATTTGATGATCGTCTAAAACTGTAATAACCTTAAATGTTACGCTTAATTTGGTGTATTTGTTACTACTTTGCTTGGGTTATATTGTTTCTTGTGTTGTAATTTTATCCTTATTGAGATCTGATTCATGGGTTTTGGCGTTAATGTGCTTGTAATTGGATTTCAGCATATTTTAGTTACTTTTTTGCGATTAACATTGTGAACCCATTTCAGGGTTTTGGCATTTTTAATCACTTTTTACATTGGACATGAATTTTAATTGAAGGAATGTGTATAAATTTTGCACTTCTGTTTCAAGTTTTGGGAAATGAAGTTCCTTTTCTCATCAATGGAAGTGCCCGTGTTTTTATTTATTGATTCTTTTCATGGTTGCATACTTGCATTGTTGCTTGCTAGATGTCAAAGATAAAGTAGCTCTACTCTTGAATTATCCTAAAAGTTGCAAGATTTCAATTAGGTTAGAGTATGGATAAAGAATCATGTAGTAGCCAGGTTAATTGATTAAACACTATGCCTTGGGACTTTGTTCAGTTTTTAGAGATTCTAGTTTCCACTTAATTGGCAATTTGTTGATCTTTGTGTGTGAGATTATGGGTTGTTCTATTCGAGCGTTTATTTTGTTGACCTTAACGCAAAATATTTCCTTTTCGATATCAGGTTGAACGCCTTGCATCACTGATTCACAAGGTTTGACTGACACATCTTTAAGATATACATCCTTTTTTTTTTTTTTCTTTTTTTGCCTTTTTTGGTTCCAAATAATTAGCTGCCTTTAACTTTATTTTCGTTTTGTATGCAGAGTAAGCATCTAGTGGTGTTTACAGGTGCAGGAATTTCAACTTCTTGTGGTATACCTGATTTTCGAGGTCCAAAAGGCATTTGGACACTTCAGGTGAGTCACATTCTGTCTTGTAAAGTTAATGAGCAATAAGTGAATTTAGTGGGTTTTGGTTCGTATATTTTTGGCGGTGGTTTTGGCGAGGTTGGGGGTGGTTGTTCAATCGGTCTTTTTGAGGAGCAAGTGTTTCTTACAATTGGGTACAGTCAAGAGTTAGGAGTATAATTTCTTTAGAGTATAGTGTCAATATATTAATGTATTCACGTTTATTGTAACTGTAATGAAAAGGAAAAAAAATAGGCCTCCTTTTTGCCCTTATGAACTTATGTTCTGATGTTCATTTACTACTACAGCGTGAAGGCAAAGCCTTGCCTGAAGCATCATTGCCATTTCATCGCGCTGTGCCGAGCTTGACTCACATGGCTTTAGTTGAATTGGAACGAGCGGGCATTTTGAAGTTTCTTATTAGCCAGGTAAGGTTGTATTTTTTTGATCATGTGTTGGCCTTTCTCCTCGCTTTTGCTTTGCTTTCTCACCCTTTAGCATGAAAAATTGTTGTGCTTTAGTAGTTGTTTCTTACTCTTCCCGAAACCTGCTTCCCAAGTTTTATGCTAGTATGCTTGAAAATGCATTTCTTTTCATTTTTCTGTCATTGCCCACGAATTGTGTAGATTGAAGAGACTGTGAGGAGGTCTGTAGTTGTTTGTGAGGCAATTGAAATGTTTTTTGACAATTTTTTTTTTCACTACGTTCTTCAGATTAGTCCTCTGTACTAGTGTTGTTACCATCGTATGCAAAACAATTTCATGTAGTATAAGATTCTTTCACTTTATAGTACTCATGCTGGGTTTCCCCCAAATTGGTATTTTTGCTGTACTATATTTTTTATTCCATGTTCTTGATCAATGCTAGAATGTTGATGGCCTCCATCTTCGATCTGGAATACCGAGGGAGAAACTTGCTGAGTTACACGGTAACTCTTTCATGGAAACCTGCCCTTCATGTGGAGTCGAGTAAGGCTCGTTTTTTCTTTGTATAAGGCTAATGCACTATTGTAACGGGCTGAGCTTTTTATTTATGTCTCTTTGAATTTATTTGCTGGGGGAATCATTATACTCATATGTTGTCTTTTAGTCAATAAGCTGTAAAGTATCGTCACTTTGCAGTTTGCACTTGCTTATGCACTTATTATTATATCTTGAATTTTCACGTTCATAATCGAAACTTCAGCTCATGATGTAAATAATAAACCTATGAAGGTATCTGCGGGATTTTGAGGTGGAAACTATTGGCTTGAAGGAGACTTCCAGACGGTGTTCTGTTAAAAATTGTGGGGCTAAACTTAAGGATACAGTACTTGATTGGGAGGTACTTCTTTCTTTACCTGTAGAATGCTTTCTACTATTTATTTGATTTAGCACTCCTAACCTTTTAGGTTGGAACAAACTGGAAAATTTATGAAAAACATATCAAAATCCACTATTCCTTTTCTTAGGACGCATTGCCCGAAAAGGAGATGAATCTTGCTGAGAAGCACTGCAAGATGGCTGATATTGTTTTGTGTCTGGGGACCAGGTAACAATTGAATTTCGCACTTTGTTAGGATGAAGTCTTTCTGATTCATATCTCATATGGGACGAAATTATTAATTAGAACTCGGTCTATGGATCGATAATATTTGGCAGTCTGCAGATAACTCCAGCATGCAACCTACCTCTTAGATCACTTCGCGGTGGGGGAAAGATTGTTATTGTTAATCTTCAGGTGAACTTTTGTCCCTAGTTAATTTAGTACAAGAAACGTTTATTTTCACAGATATTTGTGTAGATTCTTCACCTTTTTTCATTTGAATCTATGTAATATTTCAACACTCCCAAAATTTTCCGCACACAAATTCTGACACTTCCAAATATTACGTTTCAAAATTCAGATCAGGGTTTGTGTAGAACTCGTGTAAAAGAGATGAACCAGCATATGCACATAGGGAATGATTAGTGAAATTTTGTGCCAAAATCAATGGGTTTTGGATTGTCACTGACACTGTTGTTTTACGTGCTTGTTCCACTTTGCAGAAAACTCCAAAAGACAAGAAAGCAAGCTTAGTGATTCATGGACTTGTTGATAAGGTATTTGATATTTTGCTTTGGTTGCTAGAAATTTCAGCATCTCTCCATTTTTTTCTTTTGGGTAATAATGAAGTTAGAAATAAAATGATATTTTATGGGCAATTTCTGGTTGTCTTCAATGTTGACGGAGGACTTGAAACATAAATTAGTATCCTAATTTAATCCTGTTTATCACAAATTAGTACGTGTCAACAGTTTATTTTTCTTATCAATAGAAGCATAAGTCAGTTTCCTACGTTATATCATGTTTAGTAACGGGAACAAAATATAGCCTTTATTCTTACATGTCAACTGTTTATTTTCTTTATTGCATTCTTATTTGACTTGCTTTCTATTGACTTCAATTTGATCAACAGGTTATAACGGGTGCCATAAACTTGCTTAATCTGCAGATTTCTCCATTTGTGAGGATCGATCTTTTTCAAATCATTTTAACTCAAGCCTTGAGTATAGGTAATTCAGCTCTGTATGTATAGTTGTTACTTATTACAATTTCACGGAAACATGCATATCTGACGAGTTTGACAAATACTTCGAGTGGAAAGAATAAGTGCTTACTGACTCTGCATTATCTCCTTAGCTGCACCATGCATGTAAAGTATGTCCTAGATTTCACAACGAAATTAGGCAGAGAACATATTCAAGTTTCTTCCTCCTTTCTTGTATTTTTTCAAAAGATATCTTTGTTCCAAACTAGCAAAGATGCATTTTCAACATTGTTCTCTTTGCATCGGTTGATATAAGAACCTAATGCGAAGATATTGAACCAAGAATTCTTCTGTAGACCGAGTCCATAAATCAACTTGCATCAGCTTATTGTCAACATGCATTACTTGAGTTGTACATTTTAGAAAGACATTTATGTCTATAACCACAATTGCATGCATAATGAGTAAATCTAAATAGGATTTTTTTTTATAGAAATTGCTAGATTGGTTTATCAAACTGTATTACATTTGGTTAATTTGTTTTACTTTTATTTATCTGTTTTCTATCTATTTTTAATGTGGTGCTTTCCCTTCCATTGCAGATCAGAAGTATGTGAACTGGAATCTCCGGGTAGCAAGTGCACATGGACCCAAAGCTCCATTGCCATTCATCAAATCCGTCGAGGTGAGTTTGCTTTTAAGTAAACCCATTCTGCTAATTCCCCTAGAGCTTCAATGTTCATGTCCTACTTGGTTTTAGAAATTCAAAGGTCTTCAAAAGCCCATTATTCTGTATTCTCCCATTCTGCTAATTCCCTTAGAGCTTCAATGTTCATGTCCTACTTGGTTTTAGAAATTCAAAGGTCTTCAAAAGCCCATTATTCTGTATTCTAGTATACATCCTTTGCGGAGGTTTGCTAATAGGTAAAATTAGTAATTTCCTCTCACCACTCTTGATGCTCCGTAAGAAACTGAGTAAATCTGTGAATTTCAAAGGGGTTGAATATTGCACTTATGACTTTTGCGTCTAATATGAAATGAACCGCTTTCAAGTTCTGGTTTTGAATATTTGCTGTAGGCAAGAGGAACTGTTTTTGTACATCAAAATCTATCCTGCCAGGGGATATAGAGTGATTCCAATTAGTAATATTATTTGTTTTTAATAAATTCCTTATCCCCACGAATTTGGTTTGGGGGACAAACCAAACCGCTTTACTAATGATTAAATGATTTTTTTCCCCATACCACAAGAAAATATTTTGTTGTGAATGAACAAGAAATGTCCAAGAAGAAGCTGGATTCATTATAAATTCATTCTGATCCCAATCCATAATTTTCTCTCCTACGAATTTTCTTGATTCGATCCATATCCAGTTTATGATAGTCCATTATGAAATCTTTTTGTTTCTGGATTCTTTCTTCATTTGGGGGCTAACTCTTTTCTGATTGTACTCCTAGGTTTCCTTCTTAGACGCGGAAGACTACAAAGCAGCTCTTTTAGAAAAAGAACCATTTCAGCTTAAAAGGTAATAATTGTATATCTTTGATTCAAACAGAGAAGGTTCTATATTTTCTGTAGAGCAAAGTCCTTTTATCGTGTATGAGCATAACGTGACACTTGATTTCTAGCTCTTACATTTTGGATTTTAAACATTTGGAGAATCCCATTTCTGAACAATTTTTCTAGGCAAGATATAACACACACACTGTTATCCTCTCTCATTTTTTGTTTTCGACTTCTATCAGACGGACGGTGGAAACCAAGTCATTTGAATTGGTCTTGAAACTGAATTTCAGTGAAGGTTGCGGTTGTCCAAGTATCGAAATAAACATTCCTGTTGATTTCAAGGTGAGATGTTGCAGATACCATTTCTTTGTTTTTTTTTTTTTTTTTTCCTTTGCAGTCTCTTTTATCTTTCGCTCTATTTTTATATCCCCTTCTAAATTTATGTGCATGTATAGACACTTTGTGATGTCTTTTTGTTCAATACTAAAAAAATGCAAACTTCTGGCACAAGATAGACGATCAGAAGTATTCATAAAGATGTAGATATCCTTTTGTTCTCCATGATTTTGTACATGGTAATATGAGGCTGGTTTGTGATTGGTTTTGGAGTCATCAAAGGTACTTTCGCATATAAATTGGTACAACGGGTGTGTTTGTCATTCTGAGAAGTTAAACTTTTAACTTTAATATCAGGTATTGCTTCTACTTCGTAAAAGTTAAGCTTAAAGTTAAGCTTCGTGCTAATGCCATCGGTATATTTGTCACAGAAAAGTATGAAGTGGCGCATTTAATATGGTGTGTTATTTTGTGCTTCATTGCAAAATGTTGTTTTAAATGCTATATCTACCGACAGTTGAAACTTGTAAAAGAAAATTTCTTAATTCTTAAATAGTTGAAAAATGATAATATTGTAATTATTAGTGTCTTAACATATCAACCTATAAGCAACCAAATGCCAAAGTTTAGCATGTGCTTTAGCCTTGCATTGGAGAACGGTTTTCTTACCCGAACATCAAATGCATTGACATAAAAATTTAGCATTGCATTGTAGAACAGTTTTCTTACCCGAACATCAAATGCATTGACATAAAAATTTAGCATTGCATTGGAGATGCTCTAAACCATACTGACAAATGCTCGGTTTTCTACATCATAAGATATTGCTCAACTTTTGTATGTAATTGTGCAGGTTCCAACAGACTGTTTTGACCTTGAAAAGGATAGCATATTTCAAAAGCTGAGAGAGACAGCAATTAAAGACTCGTGCTGTGGGCAGAATGCAGTCATTGAGAGAAAGGCTATTTTATCCCCGGCTAGTGAGGTCACTGTTTATGCCACTGTAACCAACATTGTTAGGTACAACAAAGCCTCGAAAGTGTCGGAAGCCAATTCTCCGAGCAATGGTAGCATCAAAAGGAGAATTGAAAATGGCATCGGGACGTCGAGGAAGCGACCGAGAGGGCATAAGCGCAAATCTAAATTCTTAACAAATTAGAATAGTAGACCATGTAGCTGTGATTCGGGTTTCTCTGTACATATATTTTACTTCTCATTACAAACTAACGGAAATTATAATACATAGGGACTGAGTGAATTTTGCTAGATAATACACTCAGTCTCTCGCAGCTATTATGGAATAGAGAGGTGGTGTTGATTCCTCTAACATTGTAATATGTATTGTGAAGCTTCTTGGTGTTGGATGATATCATTCATTTAGCCCCCAATTTAGGACTTGTTTGTTTCACGTGTTTGAATCCATTATTCTAATTTTGTTGTAGTCTTTTTCTTTCATAAAAAAATTTAAATGAAATAAGTTTTCATTAATGGGTTCTCTCAAAAAATTTAAATTTAAAATTAAAATTATTGGCTTAAACGCGTGAACTAATTAGAAACTGTGACTCGGGTTTTTCTGTACATATATTTTACTTCTCATTACAAACTAACGGAAATTATAATACACAGGGACTGAGTGAATTTTGCTAGATACTACACTCAGTCTCTCGCAGCTATGCTGGAATAGAGAGGTGGTGTTGATTCCTCTAACATAATGTTGTAATTTGTATTGTGAAGCTTCTTGGTGTTGCATCATATCATTATTAGAATCTCACATTGGCCGGAGATATTGACATAATCCACTTAATAAGATGAGGGCAATCCTTCCCTAACAAGCTGGTTTTGTTAGGTTGAGTTAGGCCCAATATCTTTTGATTTTTGTAAAATAGTATCAGAGAAGACCCAATTTTACAATGTTGGGTCTCCCAATATCAACTTATTCGCAGCGGTTTGACATGGTCAACGCTGTGTGTGAGGGGGCGTATTAAAATCCCACATTAGTTGGAGATATTGGCATGATCCACTTAATAAGGTGAGGGCAATCCTCCCCTAACAAGCCGGTTTTGTTAGGTTGAGTTAGTTCCAATATCTTTTGATTTCTGTAAAACATGAAATCATTCATTTAGCCCCCAATTTATGACTTGTTTGTTTCACGTGTTTGAACCTATGATTCTAATTTTGCTGCAGTATTTTCATCTCACAACAAAATTTAAATGAAATAAGTTTCCACCATTAGGTTCTCTCATAAAATTTAAATTCAAAATTAGAATTACTGACTTAAACGCGTAAACCAAACGGGTCATAATCTCCATAATTTAGTTTTTCTCCCTCAAAGGATGCCAAGGATGTTGCCATTGGTATCGGTGTCAAACGGTTACTGTAGGTAGAATGTCAATTATATTGAGCAAGTAACGCATCCAAGAGAAAAGTATCTCTTCATATAACTAATTTTAACCCATGTTATCTCTATATGCATGAATAATCTTACAGCGTGTTTACCAGACCTAACCGTAAAAGAATTTAATAAAAACGCTAATTAGAAAAAAAAAAAAAAAAAGGAAAAAAAAAAAAAAAAAAAAAAAAAAAAAACAAGAATGACGATCATTGATTTTTTGTTTTTCTTCTAGCGTTTACTTGTCCATTAGCTTAGATGAGAAACAATTTATTTTCTTAGTGAAAAAATATAATAGCCGTTTTTGTATTTAATATTGATGAATTTAATGGATCCTTTTAAATAAGGGTAATTTTTAAACATACCCCTTAAAATAAAGTCTTTTTTTATTTTTATCTCTCAAACATTAGCCTATATATTTATACCTTTTAGACTATAGTCAATGGTAGAATTTTTTCAAAAAGATTACTCTTAGAAGATAAAATCTGCAATTCTCACTTATTTTTGGAAGGATTATTAATTTAGGCCTGGAGGGAGAGGTCATCTCTTCATCTTTTGTCTCCTTCCTCTCTTCCCTTCGGCTAAACAAGGGATTGATGTCTCTCTCCACTCTCTCCATCCATCCTTATCCGTCACCCCATCTCTCCCTCCAACAAAACACACTCTTGATCTATTTAGGCCTCATTCGTTTCGCTGATAAGAGTTGAGATGTGATTGTATGTGAGAGCTTTTTACTGTAGCAAAAAAGTTAGATGTGACTATTTGTGAGAGCTTTTTACTGTAGCAAAACTCGAATTCTAAACTCGAATCAGCGAAACGAACGAGGCCTTAGTCACTATATTAAACTTTGGAGCTTTGAAGTTCATAGTTCGGCTTTTCTACAACGTGTCATAAACAAGAGCAATTTTTAAAAATACCCCTTAAAATAGAACCCTCTTTTATTTTTATTGCTTAACATTAGCCAATATATTTCTACCTTTTATTTTAGACTATAACTAGTCCAAGGGTAAAGTTTTTTAAAAGATGTATTTTTAATAAGTCGGGTACTTAAAGAAGTAGAAACTGTAAATTCCTTCATAAACAATCTATTGGATCTTAAAAAATATACCAATAAATATGAGACCTATCATTTTGTCAATAGAATGCCATTCTAGTCCCAAACTTAAAAGTTTAGAGCATATAAATCTCTATAAATTAATCCTCTTAGAACCATAAATTTATTGATTAATCGAGATATTATTTAATTGAGATAAATTAATATCATTGGGACCAAGTTGGACCCCTAACAATATTATTTTATCGAGATTATTAATTTATCGAGTATTACTTTATCGAGGTTACACTATATAGTGTCAGTGTCCATTCTAACATTTAAGTAGAAAAACTACTCTTTAAATATATTAAATTTTAATATTTAATTACTATTAATTAATGTACTAACTCTTTTTATTGATCAATACAATATTATTGTTTTTAAATTATTTTAAAATTAAAAACTTTCTTTTACAAGTTTCACATCTTAATAATTATAGTAAAAAAGTAAACATAGCATTTGAAATAATAATATACAATAACATATAGGGTGAATGAGGAAAATAGCAGAAATGGACAGAGTAATTAAAATTTATAGCAGATATTAGTTTTAAATTTAGTATATGTCATAAAACTATCTGATTCTCCCATTTTTCTCCTTCCTCCCCTCTCTTTGATCTCCCTCGCACGCCCTCCCTTTCTCTCGCTCACCCTCTCTTTCTCACCCAACCTCTCTTTCTCGCTCACCCTCTCATTCTCTCTCCTCGCTCTCTTTCTCTCTCATCATCTATCCCCGACCTCCCTCCCTCATGGACTTCAAGGCGATGACGATTCGATCTCGCCAATGATGATGACACGAGCAGAGCAACATATCTGGTGTGCCACCATCATCGCTGGAGAAGCTGACCAGAGACATCGCGACGTGGTTCTGCGTGCGTGTTGATTTTGGGGTTTGAATTAGGGATGTTAGTAATTGCAAAAGTTACAAAGAATCAGATTATAGCTTAGTTTGGTATTGTTGTCGATTTTGAAAAAATTACTTTTAGCTGTGCTGAAAGAAAAAACAGCTGTTACAAAAAAGACAACTAAGTGTTTGATAAACTATAATTATAGTAGTTGTGTTGGTTTTAAAATCAGTGTAATAACATTTGGTAAATTATGAGGTTGAATTGCTGTAGATAGTTAAAAATTACGACAATATTATATTATACTATAATATATATATATATAATTAAAATATAATATATATTTATTATATTTAATATAATAAAAAACTATTATTATATAACATATTATATAATTATATTATACTGTAATATAATATTAATATAATTACAATATTATAAAACATATTATAATATTACATAAAAAATAATAATATTTCAGTTATAATATAATTAAAAATTACAACTAAATTATAATATATTATATTATATGAAATAAATATATTATATAACCATAACGTCTGTAATACTCTATAATAGATAATAATATTAGAATTATAAGATTATATTAATATTTTATTATATTAATTATTATATTATTATTAATATAATAAATATAATTATATTAATACAATATAATATATAATATTATTATAAAATAATAATAATAATATCATATAATAATTATATTATAATATCATATTATTAAAAAAATTATAATATTATTATAATATCATATTATATGATAAAATAATAATATTAGAGTTATTAAAATAATTATGATATTATTTGTTATAATATTACTATTACATTATATTATATTTATTATATTATTGTATTATTATATTATATTATATTACGAGTCTGAATTTTAGATTGAGAAGATTGTAAATTTTAAATTTCATTAGGGGTATTATGAAAGTTTCATTGATTGTACTATGTTAATTCCCGCACACTCTAAAAGCTAAAGTTCCCTTTGGACTGCTTTTGATTTTGGCTGTAGATTCTTCAAAAATTCTTCAAAAAACACTTTTGAGGAGATTTACCAAACACTAAAATCTGCTTTTGCTATAAGCAGAAGCTGATTTTGAGAGCGAAAAGTAATACCAAAAGCAACATATGTCCGATTTGGTAAATGGAGGATTTTACATAGAAAATGATGGATTTACTAATTAAATAGATGTTTTAGTGTTGTAAACAATAAATTATTTTCTAGTAAATTAATAATTTACAAGGTAAATCCATTATTTACCTTGTAAATACTTCATTTACCAACATACAAAATTCTATTCAATTTAGTAAATATAGGATTTACATGGTAAATGATGGATTTACAAGTCAAACAGAGATTCTGATGTTGTAATTAATCAGTTGTTTTATGGTAAATTATCGATTTACATGGTAAAATTATTATTTTATAAAAATTGACTATGATAAATGAAGAATTTACCAAGTAAATGCAAGAGTTACCACATTTACTCTCTCTCTCCTCTTTCTCTCATTCTCTCTCTGATAACCATCACAAACTCTCATCCTCTCTCTCATCATCAATGAAACTCTTCTAAAAGTAGAATTTGTACACCATATATTAAAATTTTAAAATATGTTATTTATAGATTTTTATTTATCTACTATTTACTAAACAACTAAAACTACCACGCTATTTAGTACCTCAAACTGCTATTTATTACAATTCTCCAACATAGTATATTAAACATATCATTTGACATTTTTTACGGTTGTTAAATAGTATTATTATATTGGAGATGGTCTTAATCCATGAGGCCAACGTCTATATTTAGGGTGCGTTTGGTTGGTGGTTAATTCAAATCGTGATTTATTACAGTATTTTTTTTCATAAAAAACACACGTAAACTAAAAATAATTTTAAATTATGATTCTAAATTCAGAAAACCAATGTCTATACTTAACCGTGCTCGTCTCTCTTTCTATTACGTGTTACAAGACGATAGGTCAAATTCGGGAAAAAAAAAAAAAAAAAAAACTTTCCCAAGTTGGATGCCAATAAGAGGAAGGTGTATTGGTGATGAGGCTTAGTGACCAATTACAAAAGTAATTAACAAAAACCAAGTGGGTTGAAGGGCCAACACCTGTATGTTGACCGTCCACCTCTTACTCCCGGTAAAGACAAGCCGGTTTTGGCCAATCAGAGAGAGTGTTATTACCGGCATTTCTGGGTTTCCTCGTTGAGAACGCCGGTTTTGCCACTTGGACCCTACCTTTGGGCCCTCTATAAATTTGCCTCAACTGCTCTAGGTGCCCATTCAAGAGACAGTCTCAGTAACAAGTTAAATTCAGAAAAAAAAAAAAAAAAAAACAATCCTTTTCCTTTTTTTTTAGAGAGAGAGAGAGAGATAGAGAGAGAAACAATGGAACGTATGAGTGGTTTCCATGGCTATCGCAAGCATGCAAAGTCAAGCTCTGGTAAAGTGTTTAACAAAATGGGTTTTTCCCATTTCCATTTATTATTGATTTTTATCACCCATTTTTTTCTTTTTCATAAGTTTTTTTTTTTCTTTATTGTTTTGTTAATGGGTTAATTTCTGATATATATTTCACCAAAAGGAATAATGCGTTTCTCATGTGTTCATAATTTATTGTCTTTTATTTAGCTCTTCTTGTGCTTGAATTTTTTGCATGCATGGGTTATTTTCGTAGATGATTTTGTCTATTTTCGCAGGTTTTCTATTTGCACTATCCAAGTGCATTAGTGCTCTCCTGCATAACTTTGCACAATATATCTATATATATATAGATATTCTTTTATATACATATAACACATATAATTTAACTTGTTAGATTTCATTTTAACTCGGATTTTGATTTGTACCTCCTTTGAGGCATTAAGCAATGAACTTTTGTTTCCCTCCAATATTGCTTTGAGGCAGAATTTTCAGCCGATAGAAACAAATATAAAGAAAAACAACACACACACACACACACACACATATATATATATATATGTGTGTGTGTGTGTGTGTGTGTGTGTATTGTACAAGTACCTTTATATCTATACACCCTTTTCTCCTTGTATATATCTAAGAGTTGTAACGCTTATACTCTAGGTTCAAACTTTCTCTCCTGTCTAAATATGTTTGATATGAGTATCAGTTATGTTGTGAACCTTTTTTTTTTGGCTAAGATTTTATAACATACATATATCTATATATATATATATATACACAGATGTGTGTGCGAGAGAGAGAGCAGCTCGCTATTTTTTTTCTTATTTTTAAGTGTTGAATTTTCTTTATTTTTTTCTTGCTGATTTGGCATGCATGCAAGGACTCCACGTAGGAACATTTATGTTATTTACTTTTCTTTTTTCCTTTTTTCCGGAAAACTCTCGTTGGTCACGTCTCTACTTTTCCATTACTATTATTATTATTATTATTTTTTATTTTTTTTATTTTTTGGGTAGAGCTAGGCATAAATATTATCTATCTAGTTGAGATATAGGCATTCAAGTTTTTTGTATAGATACTTTTCCCGGGAAACAAACAGGCGATTTGGTTGGTGGGTCTAGCTTCCAAAAGCTGATCCCAACTTCTGACTCCCATGCAAACCAGTATTTCCTTATATTTACATCCATATATACATATATATATATACACACATACATATATATACATATATAGATATATGCACATGAAGAGTTTGTCATGTTTAGTATATCTAGAGAAACGTAAAGGTTTATTTTCTTTCAAAAAAAAAAAAAAAGGTTTCAAACCCACGACAGGGAAACAACCTGGAGAAGCTGAAAAGGCTTTGACTTTTGTAATTACTAAGAGGGGCACAGAAGAAATCGAAACAGTATCGTTTTAGGTGGGACCCATATTTGGTGGGTCATGTGGGACCATATTTTATTTTATTTTTCAAATTTTCTCATTTGACATTATGGTTTAGGTGGGACCTAAATAAATTTCAGTCCAAATTTGGCCCTTTGTTGCTTGTGCTTGCTTGGCAAAAAGTGGACCTACGCTAGCCGACAAAAAATGCAGTTAAAAAGGTGTTTCTTTTTCCAAAAAAGCTTTTGACCAACTTCTGCTAAATTTGGATTTGGTTTTTAAGTCCCTCCTGTAATTGCATGACTTTCATAGATCTTATATCCCAAATTTACCTTCAATTACATTTTAATCTCTCTTAACTTTTAAAATGTCTCACTTTCATAGATTAATGATATTTTCATGTGTTAAGAAAAGTATATATGTGTTGTCCCATATAGAAAATGGATGAAAATGTGAATTATAAGACTTAATAAGTTAATTTTATGAGTTAAGTTGGACTCTTAAAGTGTGTTGAGTCAGCTGTACATGTGATTTCTCCTTAACAAGTAGTATTAAAGCCGATGGTTCGTTCGGATCAAGCGATCACATCCGATTGCAATTCCACATGAGAAATAGAAAGTGAATAAAGATGTGAAATGATTTATATACATGGAAGGACCCAAGACTTAATAGATTAATCTTTTGGGTTATGTTAAGCTTCTAAAATGTGTTGAGCTCCTAAAAGTGTGTTGGACCAGTTTCACATGTTATTTTTCTCTAAAATCTTTTTTCCTGCCAATATATTTTTTCTCCTACCGACACATATTACATAAATACTATAATATATGTGTGTATGAATGTCTAATGCTATAGTTGATGTTGTCGTTGAACTCTAGATATGTATGGAATCATTGTTAGATTATTTTTCATAATTATCAAATATTAGTAATTTTTTTCTCTTAAAAGGTGGGACGCTTAATACCCGTTTAGTTCTTTGTTTAAATTAAAATTCAAATTTTTATCATAAAAATACTGTAACAGAACCACTTGAATTGAGATTTAAACCCCTTTTCTAAACATGCATTAATTAAACTCAACACTTCATGAATAGAGTTGAGACTAAATTTTCCAGATAAAGTACATTTAGGGAGAGGTTAGCTCTATAATAACTACCATGCATTATTTGTTCAACCACATATAGATACATGTATGTGGGAAGTGTTTTATATAGCCAAATATTAACGAGGATGATATACATATATATATATATATATGTATACACTATTTAATGCTTATTATTAATCCATATCGTGGTGGTTGTGCAGCCTTGAACATAGCAATGGCCAATGATACCAACTCCAATAGCAACATCAACACAGGGGGTGGGCGGGGCGGTGGTGGTGGCGGCGGAGAGCGGCCCCAAACCCCGTGTGTGATCCGAGAGCAAGACCAGTACATGCCAATAGCCAATGTGATACGCATAATGCGGCGTATCCTTCCCTCCCATGCAAAGATATCCGACGATGCCAAGGAGACCATCCAGGAGTGTGTGTCCGAGTACATCAGCTTCATCACCGGGGAGGCCAACGACCGCTGCCAGCGCGAGCAGCGCAAGACGGTCACGGCCGAGGACGTCCTGTGGGCCATGGCCAAGCTCGGTTTCGACGACTATGTTGAGCCCCTCACCGTCTTCCTAAACCGCTACCGTGAATCCGAGACTGAGCGCACCAATCCAGGCCGCCACGAGCCCTTTCTGAGGCGCGGTAGCAGCGGTAGCGGTGGAGGTGGTGGTGGTGGAGGAGGCGGTGGTGGTAGTAGTAGTAGTATTGGCATGATGGAGTATGGGGGTGGTATTGCTAATGCTGCTCATCATCTTAATATCGGTGGTGTTGGGCCTTATGGGCCGGGCTTCAACTTGGGCCCTTACCCGGGCCCAGGCACACTCGACCCGACGAACGGGTATTTTCGAGACGGGTCTGGTGGAGTTGGACTTGGAGGCGGATCCTCTTCACAGAATGTTTTGGGTGGTTATGACCCTTTTGCTCAGTTTAAATGACCAAATAAAGTTGTGACCAGACTGAATAATAATTGATTGGTGACTAGGGGGGTAGTTTATAGCCGTGATTAAAGGGTATTTGGAAATTTTGGTGGCAAAGGCCTAAGAAATTTCTTTTCTTGTTATGTTAATTTGGGTACTTCCTATTTAAGTTCATCAGAAATATTCCTCAAAAGAAAGGGAAATTCCGTATTTTTTCATATTGTGGCCCATCAATGTTCACAATTGTTCTATATGTTGCTCGTTTGAATCAAGCGAAGTTATTACCCTTTTATTGTTGGGTATTTATTTATTTATTTTTTGTTTAGTGGTTTTAAATTTGTTTTAAACATATCCTCTTAATTGGTCTAATTTACATAATTTTAAGGTCCGTTCACTTTGCTGATTCGAATTTGTAATTTGAGTTGAGATGTGATTTTATGTGAGAACTTTTTACTGTAATAAAAAAATTAAATGTGACTATTTCTGAGAATTTTTTACTGTAACAAAACTCGAATTCTAAACTCAAATCGGTGAAATAAACGTCTTAAGATTTACAATGATTATTAACTAAACTGAAATAGTGTTTGAGTTATATAAGCTCTTGGATATTTTGTTTAGATGCCCTCTATTTGAATAATTCTAATAAATTGCAGTTCCATTCATCATGAAAAGAAAGACGGGAAATGCTCTTTGAAATAAATCTTCCATTTTTATTACATGATAATAATAATAAAGAAAAAAAACAGGGATAATGGATACAATAATTCTCTTTGGAATAATTTTATTTTTCTTGTTAAAGCCTTAAAAAAAAAAAAAAAATCCATTGCCTAAGAGTAGAGGTGAGCATCACTTGTCGTTTGAGTTCAAGTACAAATGATTTTCTTTAATATAATCAATCACTTCATCCGCAGTCAGATATTTTATTGACAACCCTCTTGAAATGCAATCCCTGCAAGAAAAAAATTTAAAGGTGTTGGGGCAGAAAGGCTTGTTTAACTCAAAAACTATTTCATTTAAGTCCATAATAAACACGTTGGTTTACTTACCTCACTCTTGTTGAGCTTATTTGGTTTGGTACGAGTTCATCCACAATTCTTATGTTACCCTGTCAAGAAAAGGCATTACTTTAAATTTGAGTCAAGATTATTGAATCAAACATTTGAAATGAGTCAAGATTATTGAATCAAACATTTGAAAAATATTCAACACTTGAAAACTTATATTGGGTCTAATTTGATACCAAATTTCCATTTGTTGAACTAATGCAGAATTTCAATTCAAAATAGACCAAGAACGTACAAATAATCGATAATTAAGACTTCAGTTTGGTCAGAACAATTCGGTTTGCTCCGAAACTTGACCTTTTTCACACATAAGAAGGTTAAGACAATCTGGTGGTTTTTAATCAGAAAAGTGAAATTCTTCTAGTTAAAAGAAAATGATATATGTTGGCAAATCAAAACGTCCGATTACCTGGTTCTCATTCAAGATCGGATTATCCGAGATAATTTTCTCGATATCTTGTCCTTCTCTTTGAATGCAAACCACACCATACTCGCTGCATATGGTCCTGACCTGGCAGAAAAAAAGAGAGAGGGATTTAGCAAAAGCCTAGGATCGAAATCATTAGATTCTAGAGGAACGAGTACAACATGAAACCACTTGAACAGATAATGGCTCAATATATTCTGAATAATCCAAAGAATATCAACAGATATATATAGCATTCTATATAAATACCTGCTCAGGAATCCAAAATCCAGGAATGGAAAAAGATTGGAGGAGATCGGAACCGCAAACCACCATGACCCTAAGGGATTCTAACAAAGGAACAAGAAAAATGAAGCTTAAAGTTGCAAATAAATCACAAATCAAATTAGAACTGAAATGGTCAATTGATTAACAAAAGAGATCATAAAAGAAAATGATAATGCGTGCAACTTGTCATTGGAAATGGCTTTTAAAGCTAGACCAAGAAAAATGAAAAGAAAAGATGAAATGACGATATTCTTACCTCTGGGTACCAGGTTGCCCTCACATAGGAAATTTTTGATTCTAGACAAAACGTTTAAAGTGCGTTGATAGGAACTTTGTCGTGCCTGTAATATGAATACAAATTTCATACATAATTCAACTCATTTTCTCACCACCAATAAGAACTCTGTATCACAATAATTACAGCCCATCATATGAGACACCAAGTAAGTAGTTTTGAAGCAAGTAAACGGGCACATGATACACAGTAAAGTTACTGAGGATAATTTGCAAACTCAAGCTTTTACATGGTTTTGTTTTTAGGTTTTCTTTGTTTTCCCCTGCCACTGTAACTCCGGTGTTAGGGCGAAAGGAAGAAAGAGCAGTAGATTACCTCCCATGGATCAACCATGATCAAATCGGAATTTTCGCAGGCAAGCTGACACAATCGTATTCGGTGTTCTGCCGATATAAGGCCCTATACCAAATAACTAGTTTGTTAGGCCATCTAAATACAGCTACAAAATTAACAAAGCATGCAAGTGCTACAACAAGGTACCTAAAACCGCATAATAACATCAAATTGACTCATATGAATTGCCCATGTACAGATTTTGAATCTTTGTTTATCTGCTATTAAAAGAGACATACCCTCTTCTTGTATGCGTCATTAACCGGCGACATATAACCTCCAATAACATAGAGGCCTTCCGAATTTAGCGCATCTCTTGCCAGCTCTGTGCACAGTAGAAAAATGTACCAAATTATGCATTAGGTTAGTGCCTTGCCCGAGATAGAAACATCTATAATTAAGTTGGAAAAATAAATGGCATAAACTAAGAACTAATTGAAAATTGTACACAAAATAGCAAGTCATATCAGAGATGAAATATGAAAACCTTGATATTAACGAAATCAAGAGTTTCAATATACAGAAATACATTAACATCAATGTTGGTAAAAACTAAAACACATATAGATCATATTAGTGACATTTCGATTCGACAGCAATATAATTTTCTCCATGTTATCGGGAAGAGTATCAATAAACTTTCCCATATGTAATCCTTTTTTAATTGATTTCTCAAGTAATAAACAATTCCAAAAAATGTAAAAAACCTGTATAAAATGACTAAAAATCACTATAATGGCTTGAACCATTTCCTACTTTGGCATAAAATTATGCAAACAATAACGAAAAAGAAGTCCAGAAAATTTTGACATTTAAATTTCATTATAATATAATAAAACAAAAGTCTCTCTGACTTTCATTATTAATCACCACAGTAAAAGAAACTCACCAAAGAGGCGTAAATGCATAAAAGTAGGAGGATTGAAACTTCCCGTAGCCACTAGAACTACATATATCTTGTCCCTATAAATAAATAAATAAATAATTTTGTTAACATGAAAAAATCGAAAAAAAAAATTGAAACTTAATATTGCAAAACAACCAAAGTAGAAACCGGACTTAGAGATATATGAATTCCTTGATGTCAAAATTCAATCTGAAATTATTTCAGAAAAGCCTAAAACTTTATGTAATCAATGGAAAACAAAGCTAAATAAAAAAAAAAAGTTTAAATTGAATTCGCACTTACTTGGAATTATGATCAACCAAACCCAGAGCTAATTTATTAATCGGTAAAGGAATATCCATGACACCTGAAAAAAAAAAACCAAATTAAATAACTAGAGCAGGACAAAAATAAAATTAATAAAAAGATAGATTTTTTTTTTTTTTTTGGTTCTGGGCCTTCTCTAAAGAGTTTTCCTTTGTAGTCTTTTGCTCACCCAGAATTCAACAAGATCTCTGGGATATCAGAAGAAACTCAATTTTGCAGAAGATTAGGGGAAGTTGCAGAAGAAAACTGAAAAGAAAATGGAGGAAAAACGTTTTTGAGGGATGCCCTAAAATACCCGCCAAACCGATAGCATATCGTTACGACACGTCGTTTACGCTTATTATTGACATTGAAAAACAAAAAGGACACGTGAAGAAATAGACCGCGGATCATTTTTTAATTTTTTTTCTTTTGGTCCTCGAAGATGAACGTCGTGTCGTTTCTGTGAGGCAACGAAACGATACCGTTTTTTTCCTCCCTGAAATTTGGAAAACGTCTCGCGTTAAGGCGTTTTGAATACGTTGATGACGACGATTGAGAAGCTGATGGTTTAGATCTTCGAGAAGAAGTCCCGGATCCTCGAACACGTCAAGCAACAGTCTCGTCTCTTCGATCACCACCTCGCCTCCAAACTCCTCATTGACGGAATTGCCACTCCTCCATGGCTGTTGACCTCCTGTGGGCCATGGCCAAGCTCGGTTTCGACGACTATGTTGAGCCCCTCACCGTCTTCCTAAACGGCTACCGTGAATCCGAGACTGAGCACACCAATCCAGGCCGCCACGAGCCCTTTCTGAGGCGCGGGGGCAGCGGTAGTGGTGGTGGTGGTGGTGGAGGCGGTGGTGGTAGTAGTAGTAGCAGTATGGCATGATGATGGAGTATGGGGGTGGTATTGCTAATGTTGCTCATCATCTTAGAGTCCGTTTAGTTCATGGATTATAATTATTTTTAATTTACGTGTATTTTTTTAAGATAAAATACTGTAACGAATCACGAAATATATTCAAATTAGAAAACGAATCCCTCTACTAAACATCACCTTAATATCGGTGGTGTTGGGTCTTATGGGCCGGGCATCAACTTGGGCCCTTACCCCGGCCTAGGCACACTCCCCACCAACGGGTATTTTCCAGACGGGTCTGGTGGAGTTGGACTTGGAGGCGGATCCTCTTCACATAATGTTTTGGGTGGTTATGACCTTTTTGCTCAGTTTAGAGACGTTTGGAAGGGAAATTCGTGTTATGATTCGAATCGTAATTCGTAACTCGTTATAATATTTTTTCTCATAAAAAATACACGAAAAATGAAAATAATTCTGAATTATAGTTTTGAATCCATAAACTAAACGTACCTTAAATGACCAAACAAAGTTGTGATCAGACTGAATAATAATTGATCGGTGACTAGGGGTAGTTTATAGCCGTGATTAAAGGGTACTTAAAAAATTTTGGTGGCAAAGGCCTAAGAAATTTCTTTTCTTGTTTATGTTAATTTGTGTACTTTCAATTTAAGTTCATCAGAAATATTCCTCAAAAGAAAGGGAAATTCTGTATTTACGCCTTTTGGTGAGTTTCTTTTACTGTGGTGATTAATAATGAAAGTTTGTTTTATTATATTATAATGAAGTTTAAATGTCAAAATTTTCTGGACTTCTTTTTCATTATTGTTTGCATAATTTTTATGCCAAAGTCGGAAATGGTTCAAGCCATTATAGTGATTTTTAGTCCTTTTATACTGGTTTTTTACATTTTTTGGAATTGTTTATTACTTGAGAAATCAGTTAAAAAAGGATTATGTTGACGGTGTTTTTCTGACAACTCGTGAATATCTCCCAAAAATACTCGCGAGATCACACTCAAGATTCGGTTAAGGATTAAGATTGAAAAATAATGTAAAGGAGACAACAATTTTATAGTGGTTCGGCAATAATTCTTTGCCTAATCCACTTGTGTATGCACTAATATTTCAACCGGTTACAAGCTCTTTCTTTTAGTAATGAAATGGTGTCTAACCCCTTTCTGGATTTCATTGGCCCTATTTATAGGCCTTTACATATGAATGTGTATTCTCCGTTCCCAAGGAGGAAGCCATCCTCTGTCCTCGGTAAGCGTGAGAGTAGGTGAGTTTTGCTGATTCTTCCTATCTGCCGCCTGACCTTCTGACTTTTGCAGTAGCAGTCGAATCAGCACTCCCCTCTTCGAGTTGACAAGACAGTTGGTAGAGAGAAACAACAGCGATACCCCGGCGCCGTGGCCTCCGGACGCCGAGTCACTGCGCCCGGCGCCCCTTCCCGCGCATGGTCTCCCGGCGCAGATAGTGGCGTTCCCTCGACACCAGCGACCGATCCTCTGCGAGCATTCCTCGGCGTCTGTCATTCAAGAGGGTGGCCGATCTCTCGACCATGGTGTAACAGATTACATATGGGAAATTTTATTGACAACTTTCTCGATAACATGGAGAAAATTATATTGATGTCGAGTCGAAATGTCACTAATATGATCTACATGTGTTTTAGTTTTTACCAACATTGATGTTAATGTATTTCTGTATATTGAAACTCTTGATTTCGTTAATACCAATGTTTTCATATTTCATCTCTGATGTGACTTGTTATTTTGTGTACAATTTCTAATTAGTTCTTAGTTTATGCCATTTATTTTTCCAACTTAATTATAGATGTTTCTATCTCAGGCAAAGCACTAACCTAATGCATAATTTGGTACATTTTCAAAATAGCATCAAGAGAAAGGAAAAAAGGCCATTTGCCTTTATCAAAATAGCATCAAGAGAAAGGAAAAAATGCCATTTGCCTTTATATTTTTATAATGGCCAATCGTCTAGTGAACTCTAATTCCTATCCATCATTTTTAACCATGCAACATCTCTTCAAATTCTTTAACTAGTATTTATTTCATTAATTTTCTTTCTTTCTTTTTTCTCGGCTGATTGACTAACTGGAGTTTTTGGGCGACGATGATACACTTCTATATTGTGTGCGTGGGAGAACTTAAGGCATGACTCATGTTCGGCAGATTGGTAATGAAACTAATCTCTCTTTCAGATAATAATAAAACTTGTTAAATTAAACGAAACAAATAACTTGATATGATACAGTCAATATCGTCTAATTTTAAAAATCTGGATCCATCTATATTTCCCTCAACATCGTCATTTTCGTCAATGGATGAAAAGACCAATCATTCAAAAGCCTTGAGCACGACATCAAGTACTACTTGTTGCTGGAAAAACGATATAAATGAGTAAAAATTTATAGAATGAATGTACACAGAGGAAACGTCAAGCTAGACAAATAAATACCAAAAGATAACAAAAGTATCGTAAAACGACAAATATGTGCAGAGAGCAGTGAGGAGAGAGAGACCTAGTGGGGAGAGATCACAGAGCAGTGAGGAGAGACCGAGAGGTGAGAGAGCACCGGAGAAAGTCGGCAAGACGGCGGGCGAGAGGACTGAGCACTGAGGAGAGTATTGTGAGGGCCCGAGAGGAGAGGCGGCCGAGAGGTGTGAAATGAGGGAATACGGTTCACAGTTGAGTGGTTGCCCTAATGCCAGCCTAGGATTAGAACTTGGGCCAAAAGTATAATATTAATGGGCCAAAAGTAAGCCTGGGGATGTATTGTGTGGGTTGAGTTGCGGGTTGTTATGATCCGACCCACAATCCGTCCCAAACACATATCGTTTACGCTTATTATTGATATTGAAAAACAAAAAAATGTCACGTGAAGAAATAGACCGCGGATCATTTTTTAATTTTTTTTCTTTTGGTCCTCGAAGATGAACGTCGTGTCGTTTCTTTGAGAGAACGAAACGATACCGTTTTTTTTTTCCTCCCTGAAATTTGGAAAACGTCTCGCGTTAAGGCGTTTTGGATACGTTGTCGTTTTTCCTCCAAAAAAATTTCCAAATTCAAAATTCTCATTCCGCGCTAAACCATCTCACATCTCCAACGTTCAAACCCAAACCCAACCCT